CATCTTATCATTTATCCTTCAACCAATCATATTTAATTTGTTTTTGTAATTTATCCTTTTGCCTCTAGGAAGTATTACTATTTGATATTTTTGGGAAATTAGATGAACATCAACATGAGATAATAAATTTTCTAATAAATAAATAATATTTATATGTACTCACAAATACTTATAACAATAACTTTGAAGAAACATAAACAACATGAGCAAAGTACCGGAGCAAAGTAGGGGTGGGCATTCGGTATTTCGGTTCGGTTTTTTCGGTTTTCGGTTTTTGTAAATTGCGTACCGAATACCGAACCGAAATATTTCGGTTCGGTTCGGTTTTTGTTAATTTGGTTCGGTTTTTATTAATTCGGTTCGGTTTTTTATTTCGGTTTTTTAATGGGCCTGTTTAGTGGGCTTTTTAAACTTAACAATTTTTTCAATTTTTTGTTTGATTTTTCAACTTAATGGGCTTTGATATTTCAACTTAATGGGCTTTGATATTTCAACTTAGGGTTTCTTATTTTTTTAAAAAAGATTATATAATATTAATAATTATTAAATATAATATAATTTATAAATTATAATTTAATATTTCGGTTTAAACCGAAATACCGAATTCCAAAGTAACATGTACCGAAAACCGAACCGAAATGCCGAAAATACAAAAAATTAAACCGAATACCGAACTGAAAACCGAAATACCGAAACCGAAATTCTGAAAAATTTCGGTTCGGTTCGGTGTTTCGGTTTTCCGGTTTTTATGCCCACCCCTAGAGCAAAGTACCCACTGAATGTATAGTATCCCCTTAAGGAAATCATTTCCCTCTAGTATTCGAGGTTTAATAGAATAGATCCTCTCAAGATGGAACAATTTTATTCACAAGTATATTGATACAAAAATAATGGTGTAAGTGAGTAATTGATCAGGAGCAAGTACTTGAATATTTAATTGTGCAGAAGAAGTAGTTGAGAATTCTCGTTGTTTTAAAATGAGAGGAAATCCCTTTATTTATAGACAACAAAGGATATTGTAATGGAATGCTTATTGTGCCTTATTCAAAAGGTCACAACTCATTGAAAAGTTACAACTCTTCGGAAAGGTCAGAACTTTTCATAAAAGTCACAATTTTTCATAAAAGTCGTAACTCATCATAACAGTCACAACTTTTCATAAAAGTCACATCTTTTTGGTTATTTTTGGGTCACTCTTCATAGAAGTCGGAACTTTTCATAAAATTCATAACTTTTCACAAAAGTTATATCTCTTCATGAAAGGGGAAGACTATTTTTGGAAATAAATAAATTTAAAAGGAAATTATAGCTTGTGGTGGCGTCACATAAGCGGGCCTAGGGTTCTCTTTTATATAAATATATGATATGATTTGAATTCCAACCCAAGAAAACAAAATAAATTCTTAATTTTGAAAGTCACAAAACATTATACCAACCAAATACATATATATTGAGATGACTTGTTCAATGCAAATAAAAGTATTAAAATTGGTGAATTAGAGATTAAATTGGGCTAAATTGAAGATCCTTTTAAAGTGGGTGGAGACATCAATTAGTTGAGATTGATCCAAATAAGCCGTTAAAGTTTTGGTTGGGTTGGGTGGATTACCTATATTTGGGCTCATTTTCAGTCCTAGTGGTGGTGGTGGCCGTGGTTGTGATGCCGGTGGTTAGTGGTGGCGGTTGGCGATTGTGAATAGAGTGATGGTTAATATTATCCACACAAGAATACCTTTAATGGTGTTAAGACTCTTAGATCTAAATGATTAAAATGTATCCACCCATTAGATGCCCTAAATCTTAATGTTAAATGCACTTGATGGTCTAGTATCTGAACTATTTAGATGATTGCCACGACTTATTTATGCGGAGGTGCCATAGTGTATGTTATTTGCAAGATGACATAATATTAATTGATGAGACTTGTAGCGAAGTGAATGATAAGGTGGAGGTTTGGAGACACATCTTGGAGTTTAAAGGGGGTTAGGTTGAGACAAACTAAGGCAGAGTACATAGAGTGCAAGTTTAGTGACATGACTCAAGAGGTAGGTGTGGAAGTGGAAATCAATAAAAAATCCACCTATAAGGGAGAAAACTTCAAGCACCTTGGATCAATAATCTAAGGAATTAGGATTTAGAAGATTGTCAATTATGTTATATACTAGGTAATCTTTTCGCGCTTTGCACGGTCATAAATAATAATTGCATTGAACTTGCAAATTATTTTTTACTAATATCCATACATTAAAAATAATGGAGAATAGGTTCTTCAAAAAATATTATCAATATTCGAACATGAATTTGATTATTTGTCATTATCACATAACCGAAGAACCTCTAATGAATAAATTATTCACAAAATATTAAATCATTGGTTCTTTAATCAACATAAAAGGAAAATAAAGAAGAAAATAAGAATATATATACAAAGGCATTTCGTAATAAATAGAAACATTTAAGTTGCATAGATAATATATTTGTGATAAATGTCTTGGGAGAAAATTCAAAATTTTGCTAACATATTCCAAAAATTTTTTTACGCTTGAACATGAAAGAATTTATAACTTTTGAACTTGCATAATGAATTTCTTCAATTGATGAGAAATTTCGTATCTATGTAAAAATAGATAACATGTAAGTTTATATACAGTATTTTTAAGTTATAGAATTTCATATAGAATATGTAAACATGAATTCTTGGAACTGAGTACAATAATTGCTTTATATACAATGAATATATGTACTATATGTGTATATTGTATATGTTCAATATAACTGGAGACAATAACTTTGCAGAAACAAAAACAACGGAGTTTAAAACACGTACTCAAAAACAACAATTAATTTCATGTGTATAAATTAATGAGTTTAAAAAATACTAGTGTATGTTAAAATAAAATGAAATAGAAAGGAAAAAATTGAGTCCAGTAAATGCACAATGTCCCCTTTAAGTAAACCATTTCCCTCCAATACGAGAGTTTAAAAAATTACATCATCTCATGATGGAAAGATTTTATCCACCAACTTATTGATAGAAAAAACACTGGTGACAGTTGGTCATTCAACAGGAGCAAAGCACACGAATAATTAATTTTGCAGAAGTAGTAGAAATAGATCAAAAATTTTTGTTGTTTTAAAATGAGAGGAAAACCCTCAATTTATAGACAACAAAGGGTAGTGTGAATAAATCTTTATTGTGCCGTGTCAGAAAGATTACATCTATTTGGAAAAGTTGCAACCCTTTGGGAATTTCCCAACCTTCGGTAAAAGTCGCAACTCTTCATCAAAGTCGCAACTTTTCATTTAAGTCCCAACTTTTTATAAAAGTCACAACTTTTGAAAGAAGTCACAACTTTTTATTAAAGTCACAACTTTTCATAAAAGTCACAACTTTTGATAAAAGTCGCAACTCTTCATTGAAGTCACAACTTTTCATAAATGTCACATCTTTTTATAAAAGAGGAAGACTAGTTTGGAAATAAATAAATTTAAAAGGAAATTCGTGCTTGTGGTTGCGCCACATAGGTGAACATAGGATTTTCTTTTATATAAATTTATGACTGTATTGGAGCGGGATGGGTGAAATGGAGGCCTGCATCCCGTGTTTTGTGTGATGAGAATGTGCATCATGACTTAAATGTAATTTTATGTAGCTGTTGTCAGATCAATTATGGTGTATAAGATGAAGTGTTGCTTAGTCAAGAACTTGCACGTCGAAAAGATGAAAGTAACGAAATGAGGACGTTGAGATGGATATGTGGGGATACCAGGAGATATATGATTAACAATGAGAATATTCAGGGCAAGGTGGGAGTGACCTCCGTGGTGGACAAAATAGGAAAGCGAGTCTGAGATAGTTCAGACATATGGGAGGAGATGCTTAGCTGCCCCACTGAAGAGGTGTAAGAGATTGACCATGGTGGGTTTGAGGAGAGTTAGAAGTAGGACATAGAAGTATTTTCTTTGAGATTATGAGGCAAGGCATGACACTCCTCTAGCTAATTGAGGTCATGACCCGAGATAGGAGGAAATAGAGGCCGAGAATTAGGGTAGAATGCTAGTAGGTAGTCGATCATTGTCTAGTTTACTTATTAGTATTTTTATTATTACTGTCCTGTTATCTTATAATTTGTTTTCTTATTAGGATAGTTATCAATATGTACCATTCCGCCATCTAGTTAACCAAACATAGCCAAAGTGTACCCTACACATACACTCGGTTGTATATAGTGTGCATATGCTGTGTATACATATGTATATTACATGTACAAATTTTTTTATTATATGTATAGGTATGCATATATTCTACGTGCATGTGTATCAGTATGTGAATGTGTAGGTATATATATTACATGTATATGTATATTAGTATTAAATATAATCTATACACTGTGCACATAATTTGTGAAGTGGCTAAAAGGTATTGGGCTGTAATCTTCTCTTTTTATTAATAGTTATTGTTTTTGCTCCGGTTATTGTGCTATTTGCTGTTGCTAGTGTCTTTTTTCCATTATTTCAATCCTGGCTTCTGCACTTATGTATTCCCTTTTCATACTTGCTTTAAAATGTTTCACGTAAGCCGAAGGTATATTGGAAACACCGTCTCTACCTTCACAAGATAACAATAAGGTACATATCACATTCTCTAGACCCCACTTGTGGACCCTAGGTATGTTGTTGTAACTGTTCCATTAAAAAAAGATCTGGATGATAGATTGAGAATTGATGAGTTAACCTTCACTCCCTTAGTCCCTCGTAAAGATCTACTATTTGGTATAAAATAAAGTTAACGAATAATAGATGTCAGGTTCGAGCACCTGCAGAACTGAATAAAGATGACTAAATTATCTTCTGGTTATAGTTTCAAAGACATTTCTTTGGTTATATTCATATTTCTTACATTCACCAGAAAGTTGTTTTGAGTTTGTTATTTTCGTCATAGCTACATACGACAGTCTTCAAACAATGGCAATAAGTCAAATTTCTGTTTCGATTGCCAGGGTACTACAGTAGTCGCTGGAAGGGCAAGAGCTGTTGTTATTGGGGTTGGATCTAATACTGCAATGGGCAGTATACGTGATTCTATGTTAATGACCGAAGATGTGAGCTTTAAATGTTGACCCATGCTAACAACACCCTTTATTTTGGTGTAACAGTGATTTGCTGTCTTATTGGTGCAGGAGGTGACGCCATTGAAGAAAAAGTTGGATGAATTTGGCACTTTTTTGGCAAAGGTATGACTGTATGTACCTTTATTTCTTTCCCCTGTTACAATTTATGAGATAATTTTTTGTTATTCCTAGATTTCACCTTCACCCAACTCCTTTTTTAATTCTTATGTACTCTAGGAAGTTTTAAATAGAAACCCTCATGTGTTCTCTGTGCATTAATGATACTAGGATTTGTTGTGCTAGTTTTAGGATTTTATATAAGCTGGCATGATAATTTGTGTTACTAATACTGCTATCTGACAAATTAATCAAGATTACATCTGCATTTTGAATATATATACACAAAAGAGGGCACCTATCTATAGTTCTATACAATAATCAATCCCTGTAGTGAATTGATGAAATTTAACATACTGTTTTTATCCTAAACATATCCTGTAGGTTACACCACAAAGAAAGTTGAAAAGATCGAAAAACAGGTCCATAGCTGCGTTGCCACTGTGCAATGCAAAAAAGAGATGTCTGCTGAACTTGTCCTCTGTGTTGCATAAGTAGCATCTGCTGCAATTGCTCATTCCCCCTCTCTGTAAATTGCTTTGTGTCAGACCGGCATCATGAGCTAACAGCCACATATAAAAAGGATATCTGCCGACGAGCTTTTGTTTTCCATAATATCCAAGGCTAGTAGCGAGTACTTTCTAGCACCTTGTTTAATCACTGTAGCAAGAGCCTATTGAAAAAAACACAATTCTGTTGCCTCAGCCAGAAGAATTGAGCTGCTTCATCAGTAAATAAAGCCAACTCGTCCAGATCCTGTAGCAAGAGAGCCATTCTTGGAATTTACCAATCAAAACATGGTCTTCTCTGTTGTTTTCCATTCCAACATTGGGATACAAGGCTATCAGTGTCGGAGTAGTTTCAGATTAGTTCTTTCGATAGATGTTTGATCCATATTAGTTCACAAGTCGCAACTACTATAGCTTTATATTCAGCTTTGCTACTAGATCTTGCAACCACACTCTGTTTCTTGTTCTTCTAGGATATTAAATTGCTGAACCCTCTAGCTAGAACACAATTTGTATGCCGAACAATGTTGGCATGTCCTCGATCCTCGTACAGTAGTCCTTTTCCTAGAGCAGTTTACTATAGTTAAAAGATTTAATATACTGAAGAATACAGACTACTGCATCCTATGAGCTTCACATGCAGAATCTATAGATTGACTAACAATATTCATTGAAAAGGAGATATTAGGCGCGTTGCAAGGAGATAATTTAGTTCTCCATCTAATATCGTGTGTCTCTCGAGATTGCTGAAAGGCTCCCTGACCTGGCAGAAACTTAAACATTCAGATTCATAGGTGTACTGATAGGTCGACAATTTGCTGTTGCGCATCTCTTTAAGTATGTCGAGAGCATACTTTTGTTTCAAATGATAATATCTAACTTGGATTGCGCGACCTCAATCCCCTTTGTATTAAAATGCTGAGATGTCATTTCAAACTATCAATGGCCTCTTGATTCATGCCAGAGATAACTATGTCATCGACCTCCATTTCAATATAGTTTTGAGATGCTAATCAACTGACAGTGGGGGGACTACAGTGTGACGATGAGGGGTGAGATGTAACAACCTGGAGGACACCTTATATACAGTAGGAAATTGTGCTAAGCCAAATTCTGTCTCATACCGAGTCAAGATTACTTGGCAACTCAAAAAGCATGAGAACTAAGAACTCTTCTGTCATTCTCCTCTCCTTTCTTGTAATACCCTCGTATTCACATTCTATACTCCTTTTGTCACAATTTGACACCCTTCCTCTTGTTCTATGTTTATCAATAACTCTGACCTATTTTCATTTCCTTTCAAGAGACTCCCAAAAATTATTAAAGCTTGGAAATTTTGATAATCCAATTATCATTCTCCTCCATTCCTCAACACTTGATATTTACTTTGTTTAAGTCTTTATACCTCTTCATTCGAATAACTAAACTTTTATCTAATTTAATATAGTACAAGAGTAGGTAGAGGTTCTGAAGTCAAGTTTCACCACCTACCGTCAACACAATTTCTCTTATTGCTTGACCCAAGAAAAAAGAATCAGAATAGCAAAATTTGTTGTATAGACAAATAAATAAAATTCTCTTTCCTAATAGATTAAGCTTCTAAATTCTGTGCATATAATTCGATGACAATTTGTGAGAGTGCACGCCTATTATGCCTATGGTTTCTAGGTGGCATATAAATTACATGAGCCACAAGCGAGATAATTCTTTTCACTACCCTATCCTCCCACCCACACTCCATCTCCCCACTCCTAAATCACCCACTCTCCCTCTCTTCAAGAGGATTTTTGTTCCTCACCTGTCTTTCCTTTGTGACTTGAATCCCTAATTTCTTTGTTGTATTTGGGGTGTTCTGCCAAAGATTAAACCTCCTTGTCATAGGTTAGACAGATCTGACATCATTTTAGAACATTTGTTTGGTCCAAGTCAGTTGGAAGATGCGCATTAACATGCGAAAGAGCCATACTATTACTAGTTGGTGATACATGACCTCTAGAAGTTGGCAGATTTTTGCGGGTGCAAGTTTGACGATAAGATAATTGGGATGCCACTTGAGCCCAAGATTCGAGATATAAAATTCTGGCCACCTGTAATTCGGTAGTTTGCACAGAGGTTGAGCAGATTGAAGCAATTGTATAGAGGGTGCAAAATCACACTGCTGAAATGAACCCTCTATAGTATAGTTATCTACTTTATGCATTTTTTCTGTATCTCAACTACAGTGGGATAGAAATTGCAGAAGATGATGAGGTAAAGGTATTATCCATGTTTAATCATACTTTTAAGGGTATTACCTTTTCTATACAGACTATAGTTAGAAGACATGCAAAAGCTTAACTTCAACTACAGTATTTTTATTTCATTTAATATTGTGATGATTCTAGAAGCTGTTTATTCCAAGTAATACTCAACTCAAGCTCCTAAAAAAAATTTAAAAACTTAAGCTGCTTGAGAACAAGCGAGATGACTCCGGGGGTGTGTGTGTGTGGCCCCGGGGGGGGGGGGGAGCAGAGTTATCAAAGTGGAAAAGCTCAAAACAGCTCTAAGGCATGTGAGGGCTTTAAGCGTAAAGAGCAAATAAAGCGTGGGCTTTAATGAAAAAATGCACAAAGGGAGAAAAGAATACAGATATATTATGTTTTGTCCAAGACCAATATATTTTATTTTGAGCAAGTTAAAGTTATATTTTGCTATGCTGTCAACCATTAAAAAAATTACTATGCAAGTAATCATAATTACAAGAGCCTAAGAGGTCTACTAGCTGTTCTACCTCATCTATACCCTCTTCTTTACACCAAAGATATAAAGTATTAATGCAGTTTTCTTTTACTTTCTGCATTGGATTAGTAATATTCTCAAAATATCTATTTTATTGTTTCTTTCCTTCCAGACTGACCACCATATGCAAGAAGGGGCTTGGCTCCACCATTTTTTCTGTTTTATACTCCCACCTCTTCTCATCCAGCAGGTTAGAAGATCTGCTGTATGCTCAGGCATCATCCATGGTTTTTGGATGAGATTAAGAGACATATGCCACACCTGAGATGTCACTCTACAATGGAGAAACAGATGGCTATTTGTTTCCTCCTTTTCCTTGCAGAAGAAGCACCTTGAGACAATCTCAAAACCTCTCTTTTTCAGTTTCTCTTGAGTGAGACATGGTCTTCTACATACTTTCCATGTGAAACACTTAATCTTGGTAGGGATATTAGATTTCCATATTTGTTTCCAAGGTCCAGGGATTTTCCCAGGTTGTGAGAACAAATTTCTTCTGTACTAAAATTTTTCCATCCCTATCATGTCTCCATTTGGTTGTATCAGGGCTGGTATTTAAACCAGAGAAATCACTCAACCTTTGCAGTAAGCTGGCCACACTCTCGATCTCCCAGTCATTTAGAAGCCTCCTAAAGATGATATTCCATCCTTGGTTAGTCCAGGTCTCAGCAATGGATGCTTCAGGATTGTCACAGACAGAGAATAAATCTGGAAAATCCTCCATGAGTGAGTTCTGGCCGATCCATTTATCTTTCCAGAAAAGAATTCTAGTCTCTTCACCCACCTTATAACCTATGCTCCCGGACAATGTTCTCCAAATAGAGACCCCATAAGTTTTAGTCACAGTGTTACTTGTCCATTGCTCAGTCTGTCCGTATTTGCTAATAATAACATCCTTCGGAAGAGCATGATCCTCTTTACCAAACCTCCACAACCATTTTGATAAAAGACATGTTTTGCAGCCCTAAATTCGTGACACCCAGCCCACCAGCTTTCTTACTGTGTTGTACAGTTGTCCAAGACCAATATTATAAACATGAATGACAAATATATGACCAAGGAAATTGAAAAAATTTTATAATAAAGTGAAATATCCATTATTTAGTGTCACTTCTTCATACGAGGCTCATTGGCAAGTAAACGTTTGCCTCAGAACCTTGATGACGCCATTGAAGCGTACATAAAGCGAGTCGAAGCACTCAACACGTTTTGAGCCTCGCTTCAGGGCTTAAGCGCGCTTAAAGCACACCTTTGATAACACGGGGGGGGGGGGGGGAGCATAATAAAAAGAAGAATAGCATTTGAGATAATGAAGGAAGCTACAAAAGTTCTTTAATGAAGTAAATATGCCCTATTTCTCTTATTTCATAATATCTTGTCCAAGAAACATGGGTATACTGTATTGCTAAATGGGGTGAAGTGAAACATTTTATTAGGAGCTGATATTTTCTGTCTAACAGGTCATGAGATTTCACTTACCACCTAATGTGACCTAGAAACTTATTTGTTCATACATATTTCTCTTCAATCTTTGTTATGTTGTTTGCTTGTGAAGCTTTTCTTTCGTTCTTTTAGATCATTGCAGGTATATGTGTGCTAGTTTGGGTGGTAAACATTGGGCATTTTAGTGATCCTGCCCATGGTGGCTTCTTGCGAGGTGCAATACATTACTTTAAGGTATAGGAATCTCATTAAAAGCATTAACTAATCAATTTTGCCTGTATTATGCAAGTTCACACGTTGATTTAAATGTTAAAGTACAGGTACACTGAAGTTTTTAAGTGTCTGATAATAGACCTTTCCCTTGCTTATTTATTATTACTGAGCACTTAAATGATGTTATATTTTATTATATGATTGATTTTGTTTCAATGCTAGGTAATACCTGAGTTGTTACCTTCTCAAAGTAAAAATGAAATGCTAGGTATTACCTGACAGATTTAATTTTCATTAGATAATGTACATTTACCAGAATCTTGGCATATTTAAGCTATGTAGGACGCCTTCGTCTCTTTTTGCCCTTTTAATTAGTTTTTGTTTTTCATGCGTAGAGGCACTTTTTTAACCTAATTGATAGTTGTTATGAAGAATCACACGTGGGAGAGATATGATATCTCTAATATCGGTACTAGTTACTACAATATTTTTAGGATAATTAAGTCGCTGGTGTTAGGATGATTCAAATTTTGAATTGTTGTCAGGTTGTCCTAGATAGTTGAGATATTTTAGTTTCTTAAATTTTTAATTATGCAGATTTTGTGTTTAAAGTTGACTATTTTAAACACACTTGTAATTGATAAAATTATCTAAAGACATTTCCAATCCTTTTTGCTGTCCCATCTTTCTAAAAAACCAAACAATGGTATCAAGAGCCTCATTGATGTTACGGGATCTGTGAGTTCTTCTAAAAAACTATTTTCAACCTGCAAGGGCTATTTACAACCCAATATTAACCCGTGAAGGCTACTTTCAATTATTTTTAACCCGTCAGGGCTATTTTCATCCCATTTTTCAGTTTTCAACCATGGCAACCAACAGTCTCTCTTTCAATACCCCACAAATTTTCACCAACATAAACTATCAAATTTGGTCTGTGAGAATGAAACGATATTTTGAAACCTATGTTTTCTGGGATGTTGTGATGGAAGAAAAATCCTTGCAACAATTTCTGGCAAATCTTATCATTGTCTAGAAAAAATACTTTTAGAAGAGCTTCCAAGCAATACCAGATTATTGGGGGTGTTTCTTAAACACAAAACCAAAAGATGAAAAAGAAAGAAGAAGAAAATTTGCAAGTTCAAAAACAATCAAAAGAATTCAGCATCAACCACCAAAGCAAATATTGAGGAGGAACAGTTTTTAAATTGCAGTAATTATAGGAAAGAAGGAGCGTTTAAATTTACTTTCTTTATTGTAGTAATTTTTAGTCTAATTAAGTTGCTAACCTTAGGATGATTTGGATTTTAAATTGTTATCATGTTGTTTTAGTTTACTGCAGTACTTTAATGTCTGCTTCGCTTCCACACTTCTCATTTGAGGGGGCTCTTTGTTCTTGCTTCATTTTTTTCAAGTTCTTTCTCTCTTATATTTCTTTTCAAGTCAGTTTTTGGTTTTAGAGTTCCTTTGGCATTGCTCTTGTTTAAAAGCTGTTCTAGAGACTTTATTTAAAAACTGTTTTATTTGTATTATCACAAGTATTTAACAGTTATTTTCCTCATGAGTGATATTTTCGTGGGATTAGTTGTTGTTTAATTGAGCAAATTATGTCTGTTATCCTTCTGTGGTTTGTCCGTTTTTGTCCTTGCTTCATTCGAATTCTTTACATGGGCTGATTTTGGTTCTGACTATACAACTGATGAGACATACTTCTCTCTTCCTTGTTTAGATTGCAGTTGCACTGGCTGTTGCAGCAATCCCTGAAGGGCTTCCTGCTGTTGTTACAACGTGAGTGTGTCTAATCATGTTCTTTGAATTCTTAATTGGTGCCTGGTATAAGATATCTGGGTATCTTCCAGTTGGGATACTTGCATGGATGTCATTATCTTTACATAATGCTTTCAAACAAAAAAAAAGCAAACTTAAGAGGGTAGAAGAACCAAGAAATATGCCACCAAAATGTTACTGCTGGAGCCACATGCAAAAGTCATTGTATGTTTCAGCAAAAAGAGTAACTTCACAGTCCTCTGTATAGAGAATAAACATTGAATTTTTTAACAGGTGTCTCGTGGCTTAATATTTATATTCTGATTAGTATGCCATAAAACGAGTTTTGTCAATAGAACTGTGTATTTTTTATTATTGGTTCCAAAGATACTCCATGCTTGTTCAAAGTTTGTTTGTTTATCTGTTGAGTTAGTTCTTTGCATATTACATGTAGCCATAATGCTCTTTGTTTAAGTTCTCTGTCCATTCTGATATGCTGCCAGAAAGTTGTCGCTTTAAAACATTTTATGTGCTGATATGGTGTTTTCATCTTTTCCTATATGTAGTGAAGCCCCAGTTTAAATAAAAATGGACAGTAAGCTTAGGCTAACTTTTAATTTTAGGTAGATGCTGATGGGGAAAAGACTGAAAGACTTTCTCCTCTCAGTTGTTTTGCTATCTCACATGTCATGTTTCACTTCCTATCTTATTTTCTGTGGTGGAAAAATCCATTTGCGGTTGTGTACTTTGTTCTGCATATCTTGAACCTGCTAATGTATGTACCGAGAGTATGTATTGAACATTTGATTAAACACTATTCTCTTTTAGCTTTGTATATTAGTAAAGCTAAAATAAATGTTTTTACAGTTCATCTGTTGTCGTAATAGTAGTACCATAGTGGTTTTAGTTAGCTATCCATTTATACCTGTGAGGTCTCTTTATATATCGATAATTGGGTGTTCGTAGAAAATCATATCTTTTTGTAGGTTTCTTACTTTTCTTTGTATACTTCTTTTAAATGGACGTCTCTTTATGCCCTGCTGTTAATATAATTTTTTACTTTATCCAAAAAAACATAGTTCTCCATTTATGTACTTCTTTTTATATTTAATTTCTCCTTTTATTCTGTTTTATATGCAGTTATCTTCACTTCAAAGTATAACTTAAGACAAACATATGTTAGTTTTGATGGGAGCTTATTGTAAAATACAATCATGAATTCTGTTCAAGTTTGCTAAAATGCAAAAGACTATCCTTCCTTCTGTATGTTTGAAATAGTAGTTGGAAAACATAAAAAACACATGCTTACATACTAACACAGATTGAAACTTTTATAAGTATTAGAGATTTATAGATGTAAAATGTTGTTCCATCAATACTTCTGGACAAATGGTTTGTATGTCAGGAAATCGACAAAGTGTGACTTGTATCCCATACATCTGCTTACATCTCCTCTCCTGTTTCATGTATCTAGTGCATGAGTCTCTGGTCTTATTGCTAGTGGCATGGGTAGAAGAATATTTTCTCTCCTTAGTAGTACTTGTGGCAGTCAATAAACCAAGTTCGTCCTAAAAAAATCCCAAGTACGATAAAAACAGAGATGGTCACTGAATAATATGCTTCTTATGCTTGATTTTTGGTCATAATTGAAGAAAAATATTATACATAAGAGTGATCCTCTACCATGGTGTGTAAGACTTCCCAACATACTTACTACTATATCTTTTATCATGCTTTGTTATTGTTTAGGTATGTTGCTCAAAGATACATTTTTGTTCTTTTACATTTATTTTGTGCTCGTTTTACAATCTCTTCCATCCCCTCACTCATCAAGAAAAAATGAGAAAAAGAAACGAAAGGTAGAGGATCCTATGTACTTTTATCTGATTATGACAGGTGTTTGGCCCTTGGGACAAAGCGAATGGCTCGTTTAAATGCTATTGTGAGATCCTTGCCGTCCGTAGAAACCTTGGGCTGCACGACAGTAATCTGCAGTGACAAGACTGGCACTCTCACAACAAATATGATGTCTGTGTCAAAGGTACATTGTAAACTGTATACACTATTTCTGTAGTTTTGAACCTTTTCCGCATATTCCCTTTTTTCCCAAATGGCCTATGCTACAGAAATATTATATGTTGGGGGAAGGGGTTACTTTAAGCACTTGAAAATGCTAGGCAGGAGCAATCTAGAAAGTGAGGATGATAGCATAAGTAGAAGTGCCACAGAATATATGCACTGCGATTCAAGCAACGACAAGAAGGTGAAGGTTATGTGACATTAGAAGGGGTTGTGGTGTGTAAATGCAGTCAATTCATATGTTTTGGCTCGAAGTTCCATGAGAATGGCATGACTTAGATGAAGATGTCACACATACAATTAAGATAAGATGGTTCAAATTGAGAAGTCTATTGAAATGTTACGCATTAGGAGGATACCTGTCAAAGTTAAAATTGCAAGTTCTGTAGAATAATTATGTAAAACTGTTATAAGAGCAGGGATAACATATAGCATTGAGGTATGGGCCTCTAAGATGTCACAACCCAAAACGAGTCATGAGTGACCCCACACTTGACCTCCTAGGTGGGTGAACCAATGAATTCAACCCCAACTTATATTTATCGTTCATCTTGGGAAATACTAACATAAGGCGAAAGCTTATATCTTATTATATATCATTTCCAATTCATTACATCAAGGACATCTAATCTCCAAATACTGAGTAAGAGTATCAAGACACCAAAATAAATGAATAAAATAGTGTGTCTGAAAACTAAGGACATCATGCCATGACCAAGAAAATCCAACACGAGATTGAATGAATAGCTCACCCTGAACCTAATATTTTGGAGCTTGGCTAAAGCTGAGGGCGAGTCTAGTCGTTGGTACATTCGCTGCACTCCACAAAAGGAAAATAAAGAAAATACAAGTTGGTGGTCAATATAGGGCAACACATGCTGAGTAGATATCATCGATCAACTCAAAATATAAATCAATATACATAAAGTAATAACATGAAATCAACTATACCACTTAGCACGTGACAAACAACAGCCACCATGAACAAGTGACAACAACACTGAAACAAGTACAAAGCAGTCCACAATATTGAGAACACACATGATGTCTCATGCCTCCACACCACTCTCTTTTGGGAATTATGTTCTTTGAGATTTAGTACATTCAGTTACTTTGATATATTTTCCTTTAATGTTACCGTGTTGGAACGTGACGCCCAATCTAATAATATCGTGTCAGAACGTGACACCCGATCCAATAATACTATGTCTTAATGTGACACCCGATCCAATAATATATTGTGTAATATATAGTTAATTTATTTATCATTCTTTATCATCTCTTTCCACTTCCTTAATAATGTATCATTAAACCTCATTTATTCAAGGCATCTTTTTAATAGAACAAGTTCAAGATTATGGAAGTCACATTCTTGGGATTTCAGGCCAATCACAACAACACATGAATTATTGAAACCACAACAACCAAGTACATAGAGAAATTCATAATACCACTTTATGACTATCAATCACTATTAATGGTCTATCTAACACATACAAATCGTTACCTTCTAAAAAAAGAGTCTAACACATAAAATAAACCATAATCGACTTCCATCAAAGAACTGAAGTCACATAAGTCACATAAGCTAATTCGTCAATTCTTTTCCTTTCTTCAATGCCTCAGATTATTCCCAATCTAGCAAGTATGGATAATTTGTAAGTAAACAAATTCAATTCTATAACCAAGCTCCTAATCTTGATGCCAACTAACTTCTTAAGTCTCATATTGTCAAGCCAAGGGTTAAATCTCAATACGTCATATTATTATAATTTTAAGGAATTAATATAATATAATACTCGTAATATTTAGTTATATATATAAAAATATATTAAAACTTAATTCATAATAATGTGATAGCATTAACAAGTTATCGTAACCCAAAGGTCAACTAATTAAATCACGATCCACATACATGATACCACACCCTAACTTCCCCGTACATCCATCCTATATCTAACACAAATAATATCTTGTGATTAAACTTTTCAAAGCGCCAACCAACAATTATCAATATTGTCCAAAAACAACAAATGAAATTCTTGTCCCCCAAACTTCCAACCAAATACGACCCACTTCCAATTCATAGCAACCGTAATATTATAATTTTATTAGGATGCATGTCTATCTATTCCATTATAAGTAATGAAAATAAGATGAGTTCGAATAGAAGAAGTAAACCTTGGAGCCACCATCGACCTCCTCTGCTATTGTCTTGTCGTTTTTGAGTTAATATCTCAATGTGGGAACCCTAATTGCTATTAATTCAGTTCTTTAAGTGGTATAGTGTATTAAATAAATTATGGCTTGACTCATTAACCTCTAATTAATAAAAATTAATTATTTAATAAATATCCATCAACTAAATAACTGTAGTTAATGAATAGTCCAAAATACCCATTTAGAATCTATCGGAAGAGTGCTTTATGAAATAAGAAGCTCTAGGTGGGTTGTTACGTAAGATCAAATAGAACTGTTATAAGAGCAGGGATGACATATAGCATTGAGGTATGGGCCTCTAAGATCAAATAATCTAAGATGAGTGTTGCAGGAATACAAATGTTAAGACGGAAGTGCATTTATACTAGGTTTTGACGATCATAGAGATAATACTCTATTGACCGTAAGTACAAGCAGCATACATAGGGGATAAGTTGAGAAACTGCGGCTTTGTGATGGTTTTGACATGTTTGACATAGACCCCAGGTGTCATGGTTCATGTGTGAAGATGATAAATGAAGGTGTTAAAACAGGTGAGATTCTAATTTCTTGGATACATACGAATTTAGCGACATATATTATGCAATTGAAGAAAAAGATCCATATAGGTGTAACTAAGTAGTTGAAATTCATACTTAGTCATGTTAGTAAGGTTATTTTGGGTGCAAGCTCTGCTAGGATTCTTTCTGACAATCCTTTTTTATGCCAGTCAAAACTGTAGAGAACTTTTAGTGTTAGAGAATCTAAATTATTATACATCGGAATGCAATAGGTTCAAAGGAGTGATATGAATATAATGCAGATGTTTTGCCAATGCTTTAACTTTAAAAAGTCATCAGCACAAGAAAATTATGAATTCTAGATTTGAAGAGCACATAATATGGAAGCTGGAATAAACGGTAGTGGCAGCACAAACAATGGAAGATGAAGAATTGACCCAGCAGTGATATGGTGGGCCATATAGCAGGAGAGGAATTCTAGGTGTTTTCAGGGCAACAACAACCCCATGCGTAGGATTAAAATGAACTGGATTAGTGTATTATTACTTTTTGTTATTGGGTAGTAGACATCTTAGGATCTTTATAAGATGAAATAGGTCCTAGAGATAGTTTCTGATCTTACTCTTTTAGATGTAGTTTTTTTGATGTAAATTTTTGAATACCAGCCTTAGTGCTGATGAAATATGTACAAAACCAGTTTCTTTGTCAAAAATAAAAATAACTGTTCACTGGCTAATGAATTTTCGGTAATACTTTTTTCTGTTCAGATTTGTGTGCTTCAGTCATTAAATAATGGTCCAATGAACTCTGAATACGTTGTTAGTGGAACAACTTACGCACCAGAAGGTTTTATATTTGACAGCTTGGGAGCCCAGGTATTCCTTGTTATTCTTGTTCTTGTAGACAGATTTCCGGTACTTCGTTTGTTTTGATTGCAAGCATTACTGCTGTTGTATTAGGAGGGCAATGATTGTAACCTATCTCTTAGACATTTTAAGACCTGATAAGTTTTTCCTTGCATCTCTATTATCATCATAAGTAAAGGTTTTTGCCCAAAAAAATCAGAACTTTTTTCGCAAATATTTTTTTTGTCATTTGGATATGCAACATGCTACGGAAAGCAGATGGCCTCTTAAAGACAATGCGTGGCCTTGTGCTGGTATATGCTGGAGGAGGCTTTTGGACCCTCAAAAGTTGTGACTTTTCCTTTTGCATTGAGAATTTTAAAAGCCCTCTCAATATTGTCATTTCTCCCTGCTAAATATTTTCCCGATCTTCTCAGCTCCTCCCTCATGAATGTCAAATATATGAAGAAAGAAATTAAAAAATAATTAGGATAAGTGAAACATCAATTGTTTAGTGTCGCCTTTTAAAAAGACGTCCATTCACTAGGAAAAGCTTGCCTTAGAACCTTGATGAAGAAGCAAAAGCTAACATTTAGAGAGGCGAAGCGCTCAACATGTTTTGGGCCTCACTTTAGGGCTAAAGCATGCCTTTGACAACACTACTAAGCACCCTCTATGATGAGTTTACTACACTCTCTATGATGAGTTTGCTACACTCATTGAGATTATTGGAAAAGAAATACATTTTCCCATGTATGATGTCTTAATGATTTACACATCCTTTGCACTAGTAAAAGCTGGGAAGTGGGTGGCTTCTTGATGAGATTGTGTACATTTCCTTTCGGTAGAATTTCTGGGACATACTTTAGTTGCGAAATAACATGATCTTGACGGAGCAACCTCAATACCTGAAAATTACTTCAGTCTTTCGAAGTCTTATAGTGTGGAAGTGCTGAAAGCGATGTTTCATTTGGTAATACCACCCTGATTATTGCTGGTGATATTGATATTGTCAACAATAACAATTAGAAATGTAGGAGAAAAATATTATTGAGTTGTAGTTGTGTCTACATTATTACATTGAGATCCTATTTATAGACACTAAAAATAGGATACTATTTACTCTTTCTATTCCTACATAAGTAAGATTGTATAAACCTATTCCTATTCTAATAGCCATAGGATTGTGTAAACCTATTCCTTTTCTAATCAAATTAAACCTATTCCTATTTTAACATCCCCCTCAAGCTAGTGCATACAATTCATGTACCTAGCTCGTTACATATGTAATTAATACGAGGCCAATGATGGGGTTTGTAAGATATCTGCTAGTTGATTAATTGACATCATAAAATTGACAGTCAATCTCAATGTATAATGCCGATAAAACACAGAGTGATAAAATTATAGTGTTGAACTTCCCAAACCAAACGTGCAAAGACTGTTTCTGACTTAGACCTTAGACTTAGACTATAGAGTAACTCACATAATCATCATACAAGACAACTAAACTCCCCCTGAGCAACAAAGTGCTCAAGATCTTGTATGAAGTATATGGATTGGAATCAATAGATAAATCGATATTGGACAAGTCACCGAAAAACTGTCCGGAACATGCTCATATGCTGGAGTATTAGATTTGATGGCTAAAAGTAGTCACAATCACAATCTAAGAAATAAAATTATATGGGTAGGGTTGGAATGATGTCACGACCCAACTAGAAAATAGAATTATATAGGATTGTTTGAATTGATTGAACGACCCCATTGATAAAAGAGAAATAATATGGGTAGGGTCGAAATGATGGCACGACCCTAATAAAAAAGAAAAATCATATGAGTAGGGTTAGAATGATGGTACAACCCTACACAAATAAGATTTAAGGAGTCATCGAACAGACAAATGGAAATATGCAAATTAAACAGAGGAGTCACGGAATAGACACGTGATGCTATGCAATTCAGATATGATAAAATAGTTCAGAAAAATCCAAAGTACTACACAAATAAACTATGATAAGTAGTTCGAAGAGATGCACGATGCTATGCAAATCAGATGTACAAAAAAAAAGACAGTCACCGGAAAGATGGCACAGTGCTACACAAATTATATATGTAAAAACAATCACTAGAATGATGACACAGTGCTACACAAATTAAATATGAAAAAACATTCACCAGAATGATGGCACGATGCTTACATAAATCAAATATGATGAAATACTCACTAGAAGGATACACGGTGACCCAACTTTTGCTAACATTATTGTTTGCCAAACGGGTACTGGTGGAATACAAGGAGGTTCACAGATTCTCCTCCACAACCAAAACTCTCAAAACGCTATGACTACATTGTGAATGTTAAGTTAGAAGGAACAATCCTATATTTATACAGTCCAAACCTTTTCCTACAAGAAAAGGACTAGTCAAATGTTATAACATTTTTCTAAAAGGAAAATGTATTTATGTTAAGAAAGTCACAGGAAATAAAACCCAATAAATCTCCCCTTTTTGGCCTGAATTTCTGACAAAATAAAATTGTCCACCTTTTTCATGTAATCTTTAGGATCTTGCACCTCTTCTCCATTATCTCCTCCGTTAAATTTACGTCTTGACATATAGAACCTCTCTGAACAATTTCTCCAACAAAAATCTTCATCACTGTAAAAAAGGTTGCGGCTAGAACTACACCCGCCATGATGAACACCATCTCTAACCTTGCTTCATCATTGAACCATGTCAATATAGGAGAAAAATATTATTGAATTTTAGTTGTGTCTACATTATTACATTGAAATCCTATTTATAGGCACTAGAATACAATCCTTACCAAGTAGGATACTATTTACTATCCCTATTCTTATTTAAATAAGATTGTATAAATCTATTCCTTTTCTAATAGGATTGTGTAAACCTATTCCTATTCTAATAGGATCTATTCCTTTTCTAATAGGATTGTGTAAACCTATTCTTATTCTAATAGGATTGTATAAACCTATTGCTCTTCTAACAATAACCACCATAAATAGATAGAGCAGAATGTTGATGAAACATAGAGTGATAAATTTTAATACAACTTCATGCCAAATTCCTAAATTATTATGTGACTGTTTCTGTCCATAGAGTTGACTGGTGCTATAGACATTTGAAGCTACTAGACTCCCTCTGAGCAACAAAATTAGGTGGTTCCTCCGTATAAACTTCATCCTCAATACCCTTCAGGGCGGCCCGAGCTTTGGACTTCCATGTTGGAGGTCTCAAGTTCGAAACCCCTTGCCATGGAGAGGGAAAGCTAGGGGTTTGCCTTTTAGGTAAAGCTTGCACCGGACTTGCCTAGTGCGGGTTACCTCTCATGTGTGGTTTGCGAGCTATTGCATAGGGGCGGGAGTTTTACCCTGTGCGCACCCAAAGGGGCGGCCGCTGGTTTCCCTTGTCATTAAAAAAAAACCTTCATCCTGAGTACCATTATGGAGAAAAACGTTCTTGTGGATAGTGTGAAACATAAGCTAAAGAATTTATTATCAGAAATATGATCAGAAGTGTTGGGAGTCCAGGATTCACAGTCCAAGGGTATAAGAATGTTAAACACAAGCAAAAGAATTACCATCAGATAAGGAACCATTTACAGCCTCAAAAAAGATAAAGGAACCATTTACAGTCTCAAAAAAGTTTACCAAGCATAGCTGAAGTATACACTACATATACACTCAGTTATATATGGTGTGTATACATATGTTTATTATATGTATAAGTATGTACATTATATGCAAATGTATGTATATTATATGTGTATTAGTGTAAAGTATACATTACTTGTACACTGTGTACATATTTTGTAAACTAGATGGCCTAAAGTTATTGGGCTGTAATTTTCTCTAAAGAAAACCCCTAATTACACCCGATGCAGTATAAGCAACATGAGCATTTTAGGTGGTCTACCACGCAGAGAATTACCTACTTCACTAAAAAAGTTATTGAAAGGCTATAACACTGCACAAACACGTCAGAAAATTCACTGGAAAATGAAAAGTGATCGGAAATTGAAGAAAATATTATGATGGGCTCGAAATCATGGTATGATCACAACCAAAAGAAAGAACTGCTCTGAAGATTGGCCGCAAACTGCCTCACACGCTGAAGCATGTGTTGGACACGCCAGAGCGGAGCTTTGTCAAGCACATGAGGGTGCATCATGGGGGGTTCTGCTGAAGCAGTTATCTGGGGTTTGGTTGCCAGATCTTGCTGCACCTTGACTACTGGGAGAAAAGGAGATGGCACAGGGAAAATCTAAAAGTCACAGGAAAGAAGGCATGGAGATTGACTATCCTATTCCTGAGATTTCTGACGGTCGCTGTAATACCATTTGAAAAATAAAAACACGAGAAATTATAATAAGATGCGTTAACTACATTATTAACTAAGCCCTATTAATACGAAGTACATTATAATCCTTTACCATGCAGGGCACTATATATATTAAATAATCTAGAAGAGTTATAGGGTAAAATTATTTGTTTGCTACTTGCTTCTGTTCTCCATATTATATTTATTTAGTAGAATATTTAATATTGGTGTTCTGTGCAGCTAGATATTCCTGCTCAGTATCCTTGTCTACTTCATATAGCAATGTGCTCAGCTCTATGCAATGAGTCTGTTATACAATACAACCCAGATAAGAGGATTTATGAGAAGATTGGTGAATCAACTGAAGTTGCCCTCCGTTTGCTGGCAGAAAAAGTTAGTCTGGACTTTGGCTTGCGTGTCGCTTCTTTATTCCTTATCTTTAATTTATATGACATTTTCTTTTTATTTTGTAGAATCCCAAATGTTTAACATTGTTTTACTGATAACATTATTTCATAAGGCCATACAATTTTCAAGCTTTATAGTTTATCTAATTCTTCAAATTCTATATAATTTGATTATTCCTATCGATCTGGCTATGCAACCATTATTTTATTATTTCATTTCACCATTTCTTGTATAGTAAGTCAAATTAACATTTCAAATTCCGATAGGTCTATTAAAAAGGGATGTTGGAAGTATTTGTTTAGTATATGTACATATTACAGCACATCAATTGATTATGTGGCTGATAATCAGATCTAACTCTATGCTTATGCTCTTATCAATTATTGTCAGATTGGTCTTCCTGGTTTTGATACAATGCCCTCTGCTTTAAATATGCTAAGCAAGCATGAACGGGCCTCTTACTGTAATCGGTATTGGGAAAGCCAATTTAAAAAGGTGAGGTATGTTCCCACTTTATTTATTAGTGCTGGAGATAATGAAAATCTAAGATTTGCATTCACATTCTTATGGAATTTCAAACTAACTTGCTTTTGCTGAAACATGAAAACAGTCATGTTTGAGCTCTCCATATTGGAGTGTTTTTCATGTTGCCGAACACATTAGGATCATGTTTGTCTTACAGAAGTGTTCCAAATGATTTTCCCAATTGGTTTGTAGTAAAATGTTGCTTCCCATTGTGATGATAGTAACTCCCTTTTATGAAATGCTTACTACAGCAGTCAAATGTTTGCAATAGTTTTTTCTTGGGAAATACGGCGAATGTAATTATTTTCACCATTTGGATCCTCACATTCGTTAAAGACATCATGCATCAATTGTTGTTTCTTGTTTACATATGCCTTCGGAACTTTTAATGAAAACAAAAAGCTAAGAGGAATTCTAGGTAAAGATTCTTGCAAGTAAAAAAAATCTAAAAGAGCATTACAGGAGCACCAACTTCCACTACGCGGGTCTGGAGTAAAGCTTGACGACCAATAGAGAAAAAAAATCATTGCAAGTTTTGCAAATTCCACGTAGTCCGCAATATTAGGGTCCCAAAACATGAAAGATCTTGAACGACCTGCGTGGGCTACCCTGAGATTTGTTAGCTAATTCAGTATAGATTATAAATTTGTTTTGGTTAATTAGTTAGAGGTTGTTTGGATTGGCTTAGCTTAAGTTATTTTGTCTTTATGATTTTTTATACTTTTTGTGGTGTTTCGAAAAGAAAAATATGCTTTTAATCACTTAATGTACGGCCGAAAAGTACAAAAATAAGCTAAAAGCTAAAAGTTGGGTATTCCCAACTTACGACTTTTAGCTTTTACTAGCTTATAACTTATTTTAAAAAAGCATATCCAAATGCCCTCTTAGTTCAGTATAGAACATAATTCTGCCACAGAAGATTGCAAGTAACTATTACATGAATGAGTCAGATCTCGTCCCTTGTTGGGCTTGGCTACTGTGTCTGTGCGATCTTTGCTGTTTATAGTAGCATGCCGGGTTCTATAAACTATTTATCCTTCGATTTTCTTAAATTTCTCACCCTTTTCCCCTTTCTCTTGGCTCCTAACACTTGTTGCACTACAATGCTGATAAATGCATTGTTTATCTGCACTTGAATAAATCATGAAAGGCTAATTTGAGTTTTTAGAATCAATACCTGTCATTTTCCTTCTCCTGGAAATGAAGTTGCTTTATTAATTTGTTTGATTATATGATTTTGACACATGAAAAGCATTTAAACACCAGATTTAGTGCTATGCATGTCATTATATTCGTCTTTACTTATTCCATAACTTGCAGGTTTCTTTATTGGAATTTTCACGTGATCGCAAAATGATGAGTGTGCTTTGTAACCGGAAGCAGATGGAGATAATGTTTTCAAAAGGAGCTCCAGAAAGCATACTTTCAAGATGTACCAATATACTGTGTAATGATGATGGTTCTACTGTCCCTCTTTCTGCACATATTAGAGCTCAGTTGGAAGCAAAGTATAATAGGTTAGGCCTTTTTTATGTGATGGTTGTATTTTTCTACTTGTCTGGTACGTGCGTGACTGGGATATTTTAATCCAGATAGTTCAGATTGGAAACCTATATTCTGTTTGCTTTTTGAATAGGTAAGTTAATATTATATTAAAATTAGAGCAACCTAGTACTCAGATGTGGCAAGGCATAACATCACTTAGGGATCCTTCATTCCGAAAAGGTGGAACCAACTATAACTTAAGGCGCCTCATGTAGGCCTTGTGTATTTTAAACACCTCAAATAAGACCCCGCTGTGATGCACCCAATCTTAGCCTTTGAGGAGCATCTTTTTTTTTTGTTATTGTTTTTCATTCTTCTTCTTTTGCACTTTTTATCCCTACCACTTACTCCACCTTCCACCATAAAAATCTTTATGGAGACCCTTGCAAAACCTGGAAAAAAAACATCACCGTAATGAAATTTTTTATGAGAACATGAAAGAACAAAACACGAAAAATTGAAAAAAGAAAGCTTCTAGACATGATTCTCGATGTTCCTTCTCTCTCCTACTTTCTAGGAGGGAGAATCTCACTATTCCGGCAGCTTTCAACAGAATTAGACCTTCTTTCAAGCCACAAATAATCACCCACTGTGATTATTGAGAAACTACTTGGTATTTTTTAGATAAAGGATGGAGGAAACTAGAATCTACTTCAATGCAAGGTTCAAATCCTTTAATATTACTACTAGATGGGAGACTGATAAGGCTGAGTGGTACGAATGGGTGGAAAGGAGTAGGAAGATGATGCAAATATCTTCAATGAATAGGAAGGTGATGGAGTGGATGTGTGTTTGCCTCAGAGAAGCATCGAAGGAAAAAAGAAGGAAAATACGAGATGGAAGCAGAACATTTCTGTTAAAAAAAGCATAATGAATATGGGAGATTATAAGCATCATAACATTAAATAGAGGGGGGAAATCGGGCCTAATCATTCCAAAAATAGCAGATAATGCTGGATGGTTGGACATTTATTCAAAGATCACCTGGTTCAGTAAATGCTAGAGGAAGAAAGAGATGACACCTAGCACAAGGATGACGGATGTTGATTTTCCCTATGCAAGTGCTTTACATGAAAGTAAATGGCAAACCAGAAGCCTACGCACAACCAAGATTAATAGCAAGAAAGGAACCGTAGAAGTGCTAGACCAAATGGATGCACATGAGGATGGCCTACAAGGGAGATGTCTAGTTGGGTACTGTAGAGAGGAGAAGGGCCAACTTTAGCAGATATTCAAAGATGGTCCATAACAACATGGAAGGAAGTCTTCGGATTGAACATCTATAAGTTGTATGGTGAGATGTTCCTCGTCGAGTTCCCAAATAGATACATGGCAGAGCAGACCATTTATGGTGAATTGAGATGGAAAAATTACAGATTTCATCTCGAATGGTGGAAGCCAAGAGAAAATATGGGTTAGAGTAGTGGGAATTCCCCTGCACCTCTGGTTAAAAAGGTTTTTAAGGAAATAGGTGAAATTTGTGGGGGATGGGTTACTACAGAGGAGGAAACTAGGCTTAAGAATCATATGAAATGTGCCAGAAGCTTGGTTTCAAATGATGGTTGCAGCATCCCAAGGGAGGTGGTGATATCCCAATATGGTGTGAAATACCACTTTCCAATCTGGGCAGATCTCGGTATGAGATCATGCTGGAAAAACCAAATGGAGGAGATGAAACACATTACCCAGAGAAAGGCTTAACCCAATGGGTAAGGAAGGAAAGCTTCTGTGAAGAAGTACAAATCAGGGATTCTATAAGAGGGCAGTATGTTGGAACAACGGGAAAAAGTGTATCACCAAGAGCACATGGGAGGCACATGTCTCATTTAAATGAGACCTCTATAGTGGGTTGTTCACATAAGCCCATTTTGAAAATACCATAAAATCTATTTAAAGGCCCATACTTAGTTGCTAAGGTTATTTTTAACAATCTACAAGAGGAGAAACTGAGTCCCATAGAAGCCCATAATGCCTTAAGTTTCGCAGAAGACATAGCAACACATATTTCTCTGCATGTATCCTCTATAGAATCAGAACAAAGGAAGTCTTATGCGAAGATGGTGATGATGACAACTGAGTTTGTGAATGGGGATGGTTCACCTACACCAAACAAGGAGGCAGATTGACATAAGGTAAGAGGCTGCGACAGTATAAGTGCAGAAAGTGAAAATTACTGGATAATTCTCCTCGAGTGACAACACAAATATTGTCAACTGGAAAGTAGAGGAAGTTGAACCAATAATGATGCAATAACACAGTCTGCAAGGGAGAGAAAAAGAAACATTGGTCTAGGTGCAACATAATTTGATAAGACTGGGGAAAATATTTGGGGTTCACTTTCAAGGACTCGAGGAGGCCATAGAACTCTTAATGCAGATAGATGGGTGCTCGAAGCAAGAAGAATTGAACATGATATTGAAGTAAAAAAAAACAAGGATCAAGGGTGCACAAGAAATTAAAAGCTTAGTACCCTGTGATGTCAGGTATAAAAATACCGGTCACGGGAACAAAGGGAGAAATATTAGCTCTAGTTCTTGATGAAGCTCAAGTTAGTGTCTTGGATGTACGAGGGTTCAATGATAGAGAGATAAAGAGGCTAGTAAACACTTTGATTTGGGGTTCGAAGGCTGACATTATTTGTCTTCAAAACACAAAATTAGAAGGGAATGTCTTAGAAATGGCAAAACAAATGTGGGGCGTGAGATGGGTTGGACAAGCATATCTTGCAACTAGAGAATGCTAATTACACTTAGTTCAAAGGAGACCAACAGAAACAACCTTAAATCCAAATTTCAAATGAGTGGGATGACTATTTCGGAAATTTGAAACAACTTCAGCTTATCACTACTTGGAGGGTCTTGGAAAAAGGACAAGAATTAATTTAAATTTTAAAATTGGTGGCTGGAGACCGAAGGTTTTATTGATAGTGTAAAAAATCGGTGGTCCTCTTCCAACTTCTTATCTAGGCCGGCAAGCTCAATGATCTGAAGCACAAACTCAAAGAATGGAGGAAAGAGGAGACTGGGAACTTAGGAATACAAAGGAAGAAATTGCTTGAACAAATGGCAGACTTGGATACAGAGAGGGAAGATAAAATATTCAATGATGAAGAGATAGCTAAAAAGTATGAATTATTTCTAAAAGATGAGTTGTTGAAGGAGGAGGAGATTTCATTGAGACAAAAGTCAAGAGTTCTTTGGTTCAAAGAAGGCGATAAGAATACCAAATTATTTCACAAAATGGCAAATGCTCATAAAAGAAAGAAAAAATATAGACCAGCTAGTGATACATGGAGCAATTACGAAAGACTAAGTAGAATGGAAGGGGAAATTGTGGGGTATTAGAAAAGGTTGTACTCAGAAATCATCCTGTAGAGACGTACCCTGCAAATATTACTTAGTTTCCAGTTTCCAGTCCTTACACTGGAAAATAGGGTGCCATGGCCAGATGGTTTTACTATGGGTTTCTTTATCAAGTGTTGTGAGGTGGTGAAGCAAGACATCCTGGACACTATCTAAAACTTTTGTGATCAAGGAGTGTTTGAGAAGAGTTTTAATGCAACATTCATAACACTCATTCCTAAAGAGAAGGGTGCCAAGGAGTTGAGGGACTTCAGACTAATTGGCAGAATCCATAAGTTGCTCTCTAAAGTATTGAGTGAGCGACTGAAAAGGGGTTATTGGTAAGTTGATAGATTCTCAACAAATGTCATTCATTAAAGGGAGACAAATTATGGATGTGTTCTTGATTGCCAATGAAGCTGTTGAGTCCGGAGTTAAGAAGAGGAAGCCACTTATTCTCTCTAAGTTGGACATAGAGAGCTTATGACCATGTTAATTGGAGATACCTTATGAAGATATTAGAAATGATGGATTTTGTGCAAAAGTGGTGGAAGTGGATGAAGCAATGGATTTCAACAGTGTGCTTTTCTGTACTATTTAATGGTTCTCCGACAGGATTCTTCCAAATGTATGGAGGACCCAGGTGACCCTCTGTCACCTTTTCTGCTCCTAATTGCTATGGAAGGACTTAATAAGATGATCAAGACATCCAAATTAAGAGGTTAGATAAAGGGTTCGATGTGGCTAGAAAAGGGATTGACAGTCTGGAAGTGACACATCTACAATATGTAGATGACACAATTATTTTTTGTGATGCCGAGGAAGATCAACTAAAGCACTTAAGACTTATTTTGGTTTTGTTTGAAGGGATCTCTGGTCTGCATATTAACTCATAGAAAGAGTTTATGTACCCTATTAATGTAGTCAACAACATGAGTTGGTTAGGAACAATCCTTGGAGTTGAAGTTGGCATTCTGCGAACTACTAACATGGGATTACCTTTAGGAGCTGAATCTATGTCCATAGATATATGGAGCAATGTGATCGAGAAGTGTGAAAAAAACTTGCTATGTTGAAAAGTAAAAACACAATACTTGTCTATGGGTGGAAGATCGACACTACTCAATTTAGTACTTGGTATTCTTCCAACTTACATGATGTCCCTTTTCCCTATCCCACCATGGGTCACCAAGAGGCTAAACAATATTAGAAGAAAATTTTTGTGGCAGGGCAACAAGGAAAAGAAAGGATTTCACTTGGTAAAGTGGAAATCAGTGATAACTGGGAAGAAGAGTGATGGTCTGGGGATTAAGAACCTAAACTTGCAAAATAAAGCTTTTCAAATGAAAGGTTATGGAAGTATGCCAATGGTAACCAACTGTTGTGGGAAAGGGTGATTGAGGTTAAATATATACCAGAAGACAAATGGATGACCAAAGAAGTGACTACTCCTTATGAGGTCAACCTTTAGAGGTCCATTAGGAATCTATGCGATGAAGTGAAGAACAACTCAAAGGTGAATGTTTGTGATGGGAGAAAGACCATGTTTTGGAAGGATAATTGGCATGAGAAAGGCAACTTGGAAGAGTTATTTCCTGAAGTTTATAACTTAGTCACATTTTAGCGAGGGT